CCCTTGTGGGGTGTGAGCAATCGGATTGTGTGCCCGTGTGGGGTGTGAGCAATCCTGAAACATCGTGTGCCCATGTGGGGTGCGAGCGATGGGTGAACATCGTAGGCCCGACGGGGAGTTACTTCGGTAACGAGTGATTGTTCCATTTGGTTCTTCAATTGAACCTGCTGAATGAGTCGACATCGTATTTGCATCTGCATAGAGTCGTGAGTCGGTCTCTATGAGTGCATTATTATCTTCATATGATATATTGGTGTAATGAACATAATTGTGTATGTTTATGTGAAGTGTTGAACTAAACATAATTGTATATGCTTAGTGGTGAATGTTTGCATGGTGGATATGCTAGGTGAATTATATATGTGTTGCGATGTATATATGATTGAATTGTGACGTATTCCGGTGAGAAATGTGTCATGTGTATTCTACGTTGGTGTGTGTGTGTGTATATATATATATATATATATATATATATATATATATATATATTATATGCATTATTTGTTATGATAATGTTTCTCACCCTTCTGCTGTTTTATGATGCTCTATGAGGCATTGCAGAATAGGTTTGCTGGAGGTCTTTTGCGAAGCATGGCTTCGTTCTTTTTGGTCGGTTGACTCTGATATGTAGCACCGGGTAGTTAGGAATTCTTTTGGTTCTTTTGTGATACATCTGTGGATGTATCTGCTGGGAATATTTTGTAAACATGATTGATGACTTGAATTGAACTGTTTATGTATACAATGTTTATATGAATGAAGTGATTCAATGTTTAGATGTTTCTGCTTTTATTCTAAATATTGATGTGTGGGTTTTAAGGACTAAGTTCCTTTGTGGTGATTTACCCTTTATTGCATATCTTTATGAGCAGGTGTTGTATGTGTTTTTCCTGGATAATGTGACGTGCCTCTTTTATACCATATGTTAATTATACTCTGATAAATTTTTTTTATTAAGTGCCTAAATGATTTAGTTGTTTATTTGGGAGTATAGAAAGGGGGTGTTACAGATAACACTGACTGAAGAAGTACAACGAGCTATTTTTTCATGGTTTTTGAAGCATTAATCTCATGGTGCTCAAGGAAGAAACCAATTGTGGCATTGTCTTCACGTGAAGTTGAATACACAGCAGGATCCTATGCAGCATGCCAAACAATCTGAATTGAATCAGTTTTGAAGGAATTAAAGGTTATTGTTAGACAACCACTTGTTCTTCAATTGGATAATAGGTCAACTATCAACTTGGCAAGGGATCATGTTCTTCATGGCAGAAGCAAGCATATAAAATCCATGTTTTATTTATTAAGGGAACATGTTGTTAGTTCCATAATTCTATGATTGACTAAATTTTGGTAAAACATGATTCTACACTGATGTTAAGTAATAACATCTTCATCAACTGTTATGACACTACTGCTGTCATGTGTTTCAGACAGATGTCATAACATCCTGGTCTGGTGCAGCAGGCGCTGCTATTGTATATCTTTGGACAAATGTGTTTTGGTTTGATGAGATCCTCCTGGATATACCTCATCAGAATGCACAGGTCAAATAGATCTATTAGGAACAAAGTGCAAATTTAATTGGATTTCATAAAAATGATCTTTGAGACTTTTTAGGAAACTATAAAATACTTGTTCCTATTTTTGTGAAGAAGGTTCTGCAGAAGATTTACAATGAGAAGATTTGTTATTTGATTTGATTTTTTCAAATATGAGTTGGTCTTAATTATGAGAATATTTGGAGTTTGATTTTATTTGATTTGATCAAATCTAAATTGGTGTTAATTATGAAAAGATTTGAAGAATTATCTTTTGAAAAGATTTGAAGAATTATTTGATTTGATTTTATCAAATCTGAGGAAGCTTTTGCTAAATTCCAAGCCCATACTAGAAGAGTCTATAAATAAAGACTTGCTAGACCTAAAGAATACAAGCATTCACAACAAGAAGATCTTAAGTGCAAAATAAGGGTTTAAGATTTTGAGAGTCTTTTGTGTGTGACTTTATAAGTCACCCTTTGTATCTTTTGATGCATCGTGGTAGACATATTTAGGTTGTAAGTCGTTAATTGTAAATTGTTCACTCAAAGCTTGTAAGCAAAAGTGTATTGTTCTTGATTGAAGCTGTTAAGTAAGATCAAGTATTGTCTTTGAAGAGTGTCTTCTAAATCTGATTCATTTGTTGTTATCACTGCTGTGATTGAGGGGAGTGAGAGGTGTTTCATATCTAGGAGTGTCTTAGGTAGAAGTTTCACTGGTAGGGATTAAACAAGGGGTTGTAAACGGGGGAGTTTAGCTCTGAATTAATACTATTGATAGTGGATTTCCTTTCTGGCTTGGTAGCCCCTAGATGTAGGTGATGTTGCACCGAACTGGGTTAACAATTCATTGTGTTATTTATCTTTCTGCATTTAATATTCTGCTCAATTTAAATGGTTAGATAAATTGTTCTGTCAGTCTGCAGATGTTACAACATATGTCATGACACTATAACTTCTTAAAGAAAATCAAAATGCTCGTGTTCTGTCCTTGTTATGGTTAAGCAGAGATCAATGTCTAGGACATCTGAGATCTGCATACCAGAATTTCACAGGTGACTAAAGGAAAGCTTGAAGTAAGACACTGTTCAAGTGAGCTGACTGACATCTTCACCAAATGGTTGAAAGTTGATAGATTTTTGACTCTTAAGCAAAAGTTATGAGTGACTCAATTCAATAGTTAGATTGTTTTGATGTTTTGATATTTTGTTGTAATACTTGGAATGGATTATAAGGGGATATGTTGTTAGTAAATACATTTAAGGTAGTTAGAAGGTGGCTAGTTAGTTAGTAGTTATTTGGGTCAGTTACTTGGATTATAAGTCATACAATATTTGTATATAAGTGATGTGTTAAGTTTCACTTTGAGAACATATCTAATAATAATACAAACTCTTCTCAAACACGTCCTATACATCTTCTCCCACATCTTGCATATTCTCTCTTCCTCTTCACTAAGTGTAGTTGCACTAACACAAAGAAAGCAAAGAAAACATATATTTTGAATTATTTAACCTCCTTATTACTTACACACACACAAAAAAATATTCACTATGTGCTTGCAGAATGCTACTAAGGTATGAAACAAATGAGATAATATAGATGAAATGAGGATATTTATTTTCACTTATCAAGTTTTGCGAATGAATCTATAATGGTTCTTGTTTTTCGAATGATTCCATTGAGTAAAATAAAATCAATCATCTCTCATTTGGATGTAGTCGAGTATCATTTTATTTTATAGCATATCATAAACAAGTTCTTGGATTTCTTATATTGTAAGACAATTATGCAATCTGGGTGATGTTCCACTATTAAAATTGTTAATTAGAATAATTTTTTAATTGCATCCATTTATGATTTTCGAACAGAACAATATTCAATAAAAAAACACTATTAAAATACAAACTAAATGAGTGATTCATGATGAAGGTGAAATTGCAGCAACAATAACGACTTAGAAATTTAGAATTTAATGACATTATAACAACCGAAGTGTGCGAGATGTTGCATGCAATATCATTTAGTAAAGATTGTTCATCTACTAAGATCAAAGTCAAATACTTTGAAAATCATAAATTTGATGCAACAAATTTAACTTGCCTATATTGAAAACCTTGTGTTTCTACAAAGATAGGTTTGGTTTGATGGAAGTTATGTTTAATCATCCAAATAAAGTTTGTAGTAAAATCAGGGTAATGCTATTTTTTTTGAAAATTGTGCATTTATTTTATTAAAAGTTGATAATTAATTTTTTTATTATTTTGTTTAATATAAATTTTTTATTTGTGAGTTTTTTTAACATTAGAGCACAAATAACATTATCCATTAAAATTAGTTGCATTTAAATCTGTTTAGTTTTCAATCATCTCAATTTCTTAAATGCAATATATTCTAGTCATTTCAACATGAACGCGTTTGTTTTAAATAGTTTTTATAGTGAAATATAATTTTGTGTAAAAAAATTTACGAAAAAAATCACTTAATTTTAAAATTATTTTAAATAGTTTTTCACAAAAATTATTTTTGAGATATAATTTTTTTAAAAAAATTGTGATTTCGATTATATTTTAATCTTCAATAATATATATTTATGTTATAAAATGTTAAAATCAAATTTTCAATTAAAAAAACACAAATATAACAAATTTATAATATTTAAAAAAATGATTTTATAAACTCCATTTTTAAAAATACTAAAAATATCTATTATTTCAAAACTGAAACAAACATGCCCTCCATAATATTGAGTTGTTGAACCATTGAAGATGTTATATAAGATCCACCGCTCATCAAGGGTCCTCACAATCATTTTCCATCTCATATATAACTTCAAAACAAAATTCAGATATTTTTATTTTCTTAATAAATAAAACAACACTTAATTTGGTGTCCGGGTCGAATCGGGTCGAACCCTATAATGAAACCGGACCCTTACACCGTTTATCTTTAAAATCAAATCTTCATGATTTTATTGCTTTACCAATACTTGTTTCTGCTTCGCTATTCTCATTCATTCATGTGTGTGGTGAGACTTGACAGCGCGTCTTCTTCCTTCACACACCGACTTATTTCACTTCCACAAAATTATCAAATAATCGCGTTCACGTAAGTGCTTTTCTATCTCATAATCGATTCTCTTCTTCAATAACTAATCTCTTTGCTTATCAGGTTTTGCGATTACTACTATTTTAATCATTAATTTCTATTCTTCAACTTATCTTCACCGAAATGTTTCATTATTTTACTTGAATTAACATTTTTCACATTCCAAATCTGCAACTAGTATAGCTTATAAGTTGATTTTTTCTACTGTGATTGTAATGCTAAATGCTAAATTCTAGTTAATGTTAATTCAACTAACTTATTTTCCTAATTTATTTGATTGATTTATGAACAGTTTTAGTTTGTGTGTTGATTGCTAAATATGGAGCTTACGTAATTGACAAAGTTATTAGTTATGGATGAAGAATTGGTTAATGAGAGAATTCAATTAGAGGCTTCTGAGGATTCACAGCCCCAGACCAAAGAGGATGATGTGTATTCACCGAAAATAGATAGCCGAAAACTTGTAAAATCACAACAACCACTGGAATATAATGCTATTCTGCAAGGTAAAAATGTAGTTGAGGCTGTTAGTGAAGCGGCTACGTCGCAGCATCCTTATGCGATGGTTGAGGAACTAACGGTAAAAAGTTACAACGGTTCGAGCTTTGATATTGGTACATCAAATAGTCAAGTGCAAATGATTAATAATCAACAGAAACATTGGCAGAATCTTTATCAGATGACAAATAATTCTGGAAATGGAAATTCATTAAGTGATATTGGGTTGATAAGTAGTGGCCAGGCTACATCTAGTGCTTGGGAAGATATTGGATCCACATCTTTTCCGGAGTTATTAGCTAGAAAATCACATAGTGATGGTCAGAGCAATGTCATTGAACACTTGGCAGCTGCTGAGAGTAAAGAGGGTGCAGGTGATGTTCATCGAGGAATGCGGACAAAAGTATTATCCAAATCAGGGTTTGCCGAGTATTTTATTAAAAATTCATTGAAGAGTAAGGGTGTTGTACATAAAGGTCCATCTTCGGATCGCTTCTATGTTCAGCCTAAAGAGAAAAATCAGGTAAAAGCTGGCAGTGGTGCAAATCAGAATTGGATTAAGACTAGCATTGGCGCCAATCAGAATGAAATGAAGACCAGCACTGGTATAGATCAGAAACAAATGAAGACTGGTATTGGTGCTCAGTCAAACTCTAATAAATCAGTCAAGTATGATTCCAAAACTGCAAACTTTCCGTTTCACAGCGATGCTTCTGTGCCTAAGTCTAGCATGACTGAATGTGACGGCGTAACATTGAGAGAATGGTTAAAATCTGGCCAGCGCAAAGGAGGAAAAGTGGAAAGTTTTACTATATTTAGAAAGATAGTGGATTTGGTGGATGACTCTCACTCTCGGGGAATTGCATTGCATAACCTTTGTCCATCTTACATTAAATTGTTACCATCAAATCAGGTCATGTACATTGGGTTACCTACTCAAAAACAGACGGCAGACAGTGTTGTAAATCCTGAAGTTCTTGACTTAGATAATTCTTTTAATAGAAAAAGGGTGTCTGAGCAAGTAACATCTTCCTCTATTGATATGGAGTCCAAGAAACAAAAAATTGATGAGAGTTTGAGGGTTACTGGGAGTGACTTGTGTGTTGAGGCTGCTAGTCATCATAAAGTTCAAATTCCACAATATGAGAAAGATAACCGATTTTCTCCGTATAATTTTGGGAGAATGTCTAGCATCCCTTGTGTATCTAATACAGGTGAATTTTCATCTACATCTTTATGTGAAAGATGGGAAAATAAGTGGTACGCAAGTCCTGAGGGAGGTTGCACAACATCATCAAACATCTACTGCCTCGGTGTACTCCTTTTTGAGGTGCGTAGACCATTTCATCATACATTTCTTCATTATTTAAATGCAATTTTCTTGTGCTCTGTGATATTAGATATTCTCAACTCCTTCAAATGAGAAGTATTTTACATATGAACTTGTGTAGTACATTTGAAAACCCGCATCCCTATCTATCCATGTTCTGAGGTATACATGCTTCCTAGCATTAATGTTGTTTGGAAGCTTATAAAGTTGATTTTTTCACCTATATTTAGTGTTAGCTTTCTGACATCCTCCCAATAGGACTCAAATTCAGATATGTAGTACATTTTTTAGTAAAGTGGCTGCCTGGTTTCAGGACGAATAGAAGACCCGTACTGGTGTTTATGCATATCTTTCTAGTCAATAAAATCAATTATCGGTAGTAACTTAATGTGCAATATAGTTTGACAAACTTTTCAATCAATTAAATTATTTTATTTGATTCCGCTCTCAATCCTTATCACTGGAACAATAAACATCAAGCCAGAAGCTTATTTTTTTCTCCATATTTTTCAGTTACTAGGTCATTTTGACTCTGAAAAAGCACATATTGCAACAATGTCTGATCTTCATCATAGGATTCTTCCTCCAGCTTTCCTATCAGAAAATCCTAAGGAAGCTGGCTTTTGTCTTTGGCTGCTGCATCCTGAACCATCATCACGTCCAACAACAGGGTACTATTAAAATATTGTCTATCGTAGTTACCATGTGATTTAATTCAATTGAAATTATATGCAAACATTAGTCATTAGCATCTGGTATACAGATCTATCATTTGTTTCTTTGATAAAATTGTAAATATAGAACAATGTATATTAAATATTTAAAGCATGGCAAACCAATAAGGTGATGGTCATAGGTATTGTCGAGATACTCACATTAGATAGAAATATGGCTTCAATAATGGTTATAAGTGGGGGAACCCTCCCCTTGGGGTTTGGTATTGTAGGGTTGAGTTAGGCTCAACCCATGTTTTTAGGTAGCATTAGAGCCTGTTCTAGATCTGCTGCGCTACCTAGGTAGCACTTGGGATATCTAGTCCTACGCATGGGCGATGGACAGGGGGTGGGGGTTGAGAGTCCCACAATGGATAGTGATATGGTCTGAATAGTGTTCATAAGTTAAGTGAGGGTTTCACCTTACAAGCTGGTACTGTGCGGTTGAGTTGTCCAAATCCAAGCGCTATGAATTATAATCACATGCATGGCATTTGTCTCCATATCTCATGTGTGTCTTTGTTGTAAGGTTTTCATATAATGATATAATGATCCCCTTCTTCCTCTCTCCCTTTTCACAATATTGTGTACTGCGTTATTAACTAACTATATGTAGGGGTCACACTTACAGGATGAAAGCTTAGAAGCACTTTATTCATCAAAGTAAAAAGTATAATTTTCATTTAACGGGACTCTATTTGAGTTTGTTTTTATGTAGATGCATGTATTGTTTTTTCTTTTCATCATCATTATTCACTAAAAAGTGTACTCCTGGCAAGCTGGTATTATAGAGTTGAAATCTTTGCTCTCTAAGATGTCTACTTCTCCCTTTGATATTACTAACTATTGAAGTGAGCTTTATTAAATAATATGTATGCAATTGCCATAACGATCCAGATGATTCTTTATTTGGATATTCTTCTCTTTGGGTCTTCGAAATATTTAGGCATATTTTTTATGAATATGCTGTTAATTTTTATAATTTGGACCACAATCATTATACCTTATAGATATGATTTGCTAAAGCTTTAATAACTTATGTTGATATGATTCTCTAAAGTTAAAACTTTTGTCGCAAAACAGGGAAATCCTACAATCCGAAGTGATTAATGGATTACAGGAGTTATGTAGTGAGGAATTGTCATCATGTATAGACAAAGAAGATGCCGAGTCAGAATTATTATTGCATTTCCTCATCACATCGAAAGAACAGAAGCAGAGCGATGCCTCCAAATTGGTTGAACAATTAAAGTGCTTGGAATCAGATATTGAAGAGGCAGAGAGGAGGCATAGCTCAAGAAAATCCTTTGTTTCCTCTGGCCTGCAAAACAATTACTCTTGTCAGAAAGAGATTATGCCTCTTAGAAAGGAACTTTTGAGTGTAGACATGCGGCCCACAGTATCCCCAATCTCTAATACAACGGAAATGAGATTAATGAGAAACATAGGCCATCTTGAAAGTGCTTACTTTTCCATGAGATCTAAGGTTCAGCTTTCTGAAACAGGTGCCACAGATCACCCAGAGAAAGATATACTAAGAACTCGCGAGAACTGGTGTGGGACACAAAAAGGCGAAGAAAAACATAAAAGTAAAGATGCCTTAGGAACCTTCTTTGATGGGTTGAGCAAATATGCACGTTATAACAGGCTTGAAGTGCGGGGTATACTCAGAAATGCAGATTTTAACAATCCTGCAAATGTGATATGCTCTCTGAGCTTTGATCGGGATGAAGATTACTTTGCTTCTGCTGGGATATCTAAGAAAATAAAAATCTTTGACTTCAATACACTTTGCAATGATTCTGTCGATATCCATTATCCCGCAGTTGAGATGTCAAACAGATCAAAGCTCAGCTGTGTTTGCTGGAATAACTATATTAAGAATTATCTTGCCTCTACTGACTACGACGGTGTAGTGAAGGTATGATTTGAAGACACCACTTGAATTATTGTTTTATCACTAAGAGACATTTTTTTTTGCAGTATCCCTTATTAATTTAGTATACTAGGAAAACTTTTGTTATATCATTTGATACAATTCATTCATAGGCTATAATTTTTTTGTGGGGTGGCGGGTGTAAACGCATTTTGCCTGTGGACATTTTTAGTTACAAAATTCTCACTAACCATCATGTACCAGTAAAAAGTGGGGACTCGTAAAATCTAACATTTGTTTTTGAAAACAAAAGAATAGATTAGCTGTCTAGGCGGAAACTCCTGTTATTTTTCTTCTTAGATGTTCTCAAATAATATCATTTTATTCTGTGACTTTGTGCATCAATTCACATGATTGTAAACATCCCCCGTCTCAACCAATATGATTTGGAAAATTGGAAATGATTTATATGGGGGTGGGGGTGTTCTGAAAGAAAATAACTATTTGTTGATAATTAATTGGCATGCTCTGATTACCAGCATTATTCATGGCATGCATTACGCAATGCATTTTCAGTTATGGGATGCTAGTACAGGTCAAGAATTTTCTCAGTACAGTGAACATGAAAAGAGGGCTTGGTCTGTTGACTTCTCTCCAGTATGTCCTACAAAATTTGCCAGTGGAAGTGATGATTGTACTGTCAAGCTGTGGAGCATCAGTGAGGTAATTCCTCTCCCATGCATTAATGCGCGTGCACACACACACATCAGCCACATGCATGTAAGTAATGTGCTGATTTTACCGACAGAAAATCAATAACCAACAAAAAACCAGGGTTGCAATGTAATTGTATGTTGTTTCTTTCGGAGTTTTCTCTCTTTGTATTTATGACCTCAAACCAGTGCTATCAAAGGTGGATAATGGTGACTAGCCAAAAAGTCACCATATAAGCATGACCATGTGGCCTATGGCGGTGGGCACAAAATCCACCATGTACTAACGCCATGGTAGACAGAAATTTGACAACACAGCATGAATTTCTGAAGTTTTGATACACTGTTCATATGCGTTAAAAACACAATTTCAGAATTTCTCCCTGCAAATTAAGAATCCTTGATCACCGACCAGGTCATCTTTTTTTACATCAGAAATATAATGAATCTACGAAAAATTGAGTTTTTCTTTCTATCAGCAAAGTGACTTTATTGACCATGCACTATAGTTTCTTAGCAATAACTATCCAAGAGCTAATATAGTGCATTTTTTCACAGAGGAACTGTTTAGGCACAATCCGGAATGTTGCTAATGTCTGCTGTGTTCAATTTTCTGCTCATTCCTCTCATTTGCTAGCCTTTGGATCTGCGAATTACTCAACTTACTGTTACGATCTTCGCAATCTTAGAAGTCCCTGGTGTGTATTGGTTGGTCACCGTAAAGCTGTAAGCTATGTCAAATTCTTAGACTCTGAAACACTTGTTTCTGCATCTACTGATAATTCATTGAAGATCTGGGATCTCAATAAAACCTCTTCGGTTGGTGCATCTACAAGTGCTCGTAGCCTAACCCTGGCTGGACATACTAATGAGAAGGTGTGATTTTAAATTTTATAAACTGAATGGATTAATGTTTGTGGAACTTGTAAGGTTTGTTTCTCACAGCCTTTTAAACTGTCTTTAGAGAATTTTCTTGTTTAGGTGTTAAATGGTGTTTCAGATTGTTGTTTATCTGAATGACTAATCAAATTTATGAAATGCTTGAAGCATGGGTACTTCTAAAATGGTGAAGTATTGGTACCGGGTACGCACCCGTACCGGGTACACATACCGTACTCGTAGTATTTCATTTTTTTTCTCATTATTCAGTTTTGAATGAAATTTGTGGTTTTCTCAACTATCAATATAAAGTAATTTTTTTATGGGAAATGCTAACCAGTGCCCTCAGGGCACTTTTTAAAATTTTATATAGTAAGTTTTTATAAAAGTATGTGCAATGATGTGTAATAATGTGCATTGGAAATTGAAGTGTTTGAATTTTTTAAAGAATAATTTCTTAATATGGAATGTTTAAATAGTGCCCTGAGGGCACTGGTTAGCAAGACCCTTTTTTTATTTATTATATCTTAACATTATTTTTTAATTCTTATTTTTTATGAATTTACTTTTTAATTCTTATTTGTTATTATACTTTTTTTTTACCGTTATTAACATTGTTAATTTACTCATTTTATGAATTTACCGTTATTATGCCTTTTTTCCCTCCCTCATTTTATGAATTTACCGTTATTATACTTTTTAATTCTTATTTTTTATGAATTATTTTTTAATTCTAATTTTTGGTTCAGTAAATTTATTTTTTAATTCTTATTTGTTATTATATTTATGTGTTCTAATTTTTTAATTCAACCAACAAACATTTTAAAGGAAATTCTTATTTTTTATTAACGTACCTGTACTTTGATTTTTAAAAAAATGCCATATCCCGTGTACACCGGTACCTGCACCGGGTACCGTATCCGTACCTATACACTTATGCCTTCAGCCAAAATAAATGATTTAATTTGTCATGAACAACTACTATGGTTTAGTTGGGAATTGGATTAGATTCTAGGAGCTTTTTAATTGAAATAAGTGTTCAGTTTCTAGATTATAGATGTTTATGGAGAAGATAAATGGGATGAAACTTTAAAAAATAATTGAGGTGCAGAAGTTGAAATCAAGATGTGAGAGAAGCTCTCAGAATTTGGGTTGGACCTAACTCTTCCTTATAAAACCGGGTTGTAAGGGGAGGATTGCTTCCTTTTATAAACACAACACAGGCTATATCTCTAAGCAATGTGAAACTAAATTCACCCCTTCAAAGCTAGCACAATGAATGTGTTAACAATGAATGTGTTAAGGGCTACAATGAGGCAAGGCAAAATGCCGCGATTAAGGCGACTAGGGGCGGACCGCAATTAAGGCGGAAAGTTACACACCCCCTCACGCTTGGGCCTCAATGAGCCCAAAGCGTGGACGATGCGGGAAGCCCAACAATAGATTTAGGATAGACTCTTATACCATCTAGAATGTGTGAGTTGGGTCTAACTCATCCCTACAAAACCGGTTTGTTGGATGAAGATTGCCCCTTATAAAAACACGCTCAGATCATAGATTGTCCGATGTGGGACTCTTAACTCCCCCTCTCACGTCCAGAATATGGGTCTGGGGCGTGGAACTAAATGGTGGGTGGCCCAATCTGGGGTGTAAATGGTGAGTTGTGCCTATTTTCAGCCATTCCTATTTTACGGGTACTTGTGGAAAACTTTATTCAAGTGAGCTCTATATCTGCTTCAGAAATTTTACCTGTGCTTTTTTATGTGGCATTATTCTGACCAATGTTTGTTTATGGTTTTACTCAAATGGTTCGACTGAAATCATCCACCTCTTGCTTTTACAGAATTTTGTGGGGTTGTCTGTTGCTGATGGGTACATTGCGTGTGGTTCAGAATCAAATGAGGTATGTATTAGTTTCCAGCAATGTTCATCTGTTCGGTTTTACTAATTAAAAGGGTTTAGAACATTTTCTTTCAATTAATAGCTTCGGTTAATTGCACTAATGTAAAGTTGTAAGTTGTTAATATTCACAAACTCATACATGAGTTTACTACTATTATCATGCACTAATTGTGTGATGATATCTTCGACTTGCAATCTTACATTTGTAATATTGAAAACTTGTTTAGAGAGATAGCCAAGATGAAAAAGCAAGTATGCCTTAGTTTTGTGCAGAAATCATATTCATTACCATTACATTTACATTTTCTTGCAGGTTTACACCTACTATAAAACGCTTCCCATGCCAATTACTTCACACAAGTTTGGATCTATTGATCCCATTTCTAGTAAAGAGACTGATGACGACCAAGGTCAGTTTGTTTCAAGTGTGTGCTGGAGAGGGAAATCAAACATGCTTCTTGCAGCCAATTCAAGTGGATGTATAAAAGTGTTGCAGATGGTTTAAGGAAAGTTTTCCCCTGACGACAGCTCTCCTACATTTTTGCCCTGGTCACTCGAGCCAATCCATCAACTTGCTGGGATGGTAAGAAACTCTTTTGACATCTTGAGCTCGGGTTTAAAGTTTGATGCACAGGGGTTAAATTTCTGCAATACTTGGATTGAGAAGTAGATTTGCAATCTAAATCCAGACAATCTTGAAGTCGGATGCATCCCAATGAGCATGAGCAAGCTCAAACTCTAAACCAGAATTTCAAATTGTCATTGTGTCATATTTACCAAAAGCTTGTTATACATAATTTTTCCTGGAATCAAATATGGAAGCATATCAAATATGGAAAAGATTGAGACTTCGTTCGTAATCACAACGGCATATCTAAGTTGCTTCTAAGCTCAAGTGTCTCGCAAAAGCGCTTGTCTGAGCCTATGTAAATTGCATTGCAGACCCTTTCATTTTTTAAACTCATAAAGGACTAGCAATTGCAGTTTTGTAGGAAGAAATGATTGTTTATCAAATTATATATATAAAACAGCTTCACCACCATAAAAGGAAAGCATGTAGTTTCAATTGTAACACCTCCCTCCTTTTCTCTTTCTTGGGGCGCACTCTGCTCTCAATGTATGTATATATAAATGTAACATACCTTGATAATATCCATTTTAGGTTGCTATTTGAATGCATGTAAATGAATCACGGTTTTTCTAACTTCCACAAACTATGTATTATGTAGATTTAATTCCTTGTGAATTTAACATTTTACATTATTTTCCATTTAAAAAAAAAGTATTTTTATCTCTGCCTGAAGTTTGCACTAAAAATCGTATTAAAATGAAGCATAATTAAATATGGGAAAGAGTTACAGAAGAAATAAAACACAGAAAATATTCAATAAAATAAAATAAAATAAAAGAATAATACAGCCATTGACAAAACTAGCACTTCTAAGTAACCTTCCCATAAAAGCTACATTTTTCTGTTTCTCATATCTTAGACAAAATATATGCCCCATAAAAGAGAAAATCTGTTTGATTAATAATGATCTAATCCTCTAGGACTAATAACTCTGCTAAAGAGCATAAGGCAAAAACCAAACATCTTCTATGTACCACCGACACCTCTAGAAAAATGCGTGTCCATATTGATATCGGACACCTGTACCGACACTTGTGATTACGTTTTATTTATTTATTTTCAAATTATTATCAGTGTCGCCGTATCAGTGTCGGTTTCGTTTTTAGGATGTCCGTCCTTTATAGCTTAAAATCTTTTAATCTGAGATATGACCGCATGTTGTTCTTACGTACGGGCTCAAAGGGCTCGTAAATGATGACAAGCTTTCTCTTTTCGACTTAAAATTGCTCTCTGAATCCGAGAAATTGCCACATGCTGTTTTTCTTATCACATATGGACTCAAAGGACTCAATCTGAATGGTGACAATGTACCTCGTATCTTCAAACCATTGTCCATATCTGAAACATTACCACATTTTTTGCTTGTACATGTCCTTAAAAAACTCCTTGAAGGACTCATTGGAGGTGTTGACATGAACCCCTTTTGCATCCTTACATTGACATTGATGTTATTAGTACTGTTAATTCTTCTCATTCTTGTTGGACTCAAAGAAGGATCCAAAGGAACTGGTGCTTTCTTTGTCTTTAAACTGTTGAATATTGATTGGTCTCTTGTTTTCAGCTTTAAACTAGAAGACTTGGAATCGGAGACATTGCCTCCTTCATTTCTTTTTCTTCTAATTGAGCTTGAAGTTGACAGTGATGGTGATTGGTTCCCTTTGACAGTATTGGAATTGCGCTCGGATTCTGATGAGAAAATGCTAGGTTTCTTTTTACCTGGGCTTAGAGGACTTGATGTCGATGATGGTTGATTCACCTTATTTGTCCTTGAAGTGCGACCGGATAATAATGGCGGTAATGATCTTGTTGCTTGTAGTTTTGAATTTCCTGTTTCAACCAATTCAATACATATTTAGTTTATGACATAATTCACCATTAAGTATTAAAGAGAAATGTTCACACAGAAAGAAGACTCACCTCGGTCTTTCTTTGCCTTCATTTGTAATGGTAACTTTATCGTAACACTCTTCCTTGGTGGGGGGCTATCCGAAAATATCGATCGTGTTTCACTGGATACCGATTTTGGGTTGGTTACTTGATCATCCATTATGGATGCACTAATATCTCCATGACCTTTGCTTAGATCATCGTTTACTTCTTTAGGTACAATAGCTTCATCCTTTGTTGGCTCACACTCACAACACTTATCTTTGATAGCAATGCTGTTATTCTGACTCTGATTATTGATCTTCCCTTTCTCAATAATTTTATAAGCAAACATTTCATATGGTATTTGTGAAACACAACACATATCAAATGTCCTCTCTATTTGAAAAGTCTTAAGGAAAGTTCCTTCAATGTCACAACAATCCACAGGTGGGTTCTGAAGTTCAAGCTGATTTAGTTCAGGATTGATCATTACGTACTCGGTGTTCATTGAAAGAAACTTCTTTGTGTAGCGCAGAATCCTACAAATAGACGAGAAACTAGGACGCTGAGACGGATCAGTTTGCCAACATTTTTTGATCAAACTCACAAGATACTTCGGCGATCGGTGTGGAAACAAAGGTCTCTCTCCTGCTTTGATATTCTGATGAGTTCTATCTCCTTGAAGATGGTTATCCTCAAAAGGAACTTTTCCTGTCAGCAACTCAAAACATATCATACCGAAACTGTACGCATCAGCTTTCTCCGAGTACTTACAAGAAGTAGAAGCATTTTTCGTTTGCTCTAGCTCAGTTAAAACCTCAGGTGCATACCAAATTAAAGGGTTAATCTCTTCACTAATCGGATTATGTGTCGGCGAAGTTCTAGTACCATTGCCGTCACCATTTATCACAGAAGACAAACCAAATCCTACAACTTTAGCTTGAAAATAACCTTCTTGTGAGTTTCTAGCTTTTAGTAGAATACTATTAGGATTAAGGTTTCCATGATAAATCTTTTTGGAGTGAAGATATTCCATGCCTCTTGCCATTTGAAGCATGAGATCAACCACAACAGGTACAGAGAACAAAATCTGTCTCCTAGGACCACAATTCTCCTTCATGTATGTCCACAAATCTTTGTTCATTAACTCCATCACTAGAGAAAACTCTTTCTTCTCTTCATCATAAAAACCACATAGATACTGCGATATGTTTGGGTGAGAAAGCGATATTAAATCCAAAATCTCGTTTTCGTAAGCTTCTTTCTCCCCGAGGAAATACCTCAAAGCAAAACTCTGTCCTAACCATTGAATTTCCTTATATTCTTTTCCTCTTCCCAATCTTCTCCTCACTTGGTAATCCTTTGCTCCTAACAAAATCCCAATCGGCCATAATTGATCATTAATATTATTATTATTGTTGCAATTATTTGTTTTTTCGGAACCATTCCTTAGTTTCTTCAACAACATATCTGCGAGATTTTGTTCATTCTTTGAAGAACTGAATTTGGGAGAACATTTTTTGTCCTTGATTGATTCTATGAGCCTCCATCTATCTTCTCTCCAAGCATTCTCCAATTGCTTGCAAATCTCTTTTGGAACCAAATACTGTTTCCCGAATCTCCACTGAAAAAGCTTTGGATCATTCCATTCCACATCATATTTTCTAGAGAGCATAACTTTCTTCTTCGAATTCTCATCCTGATCCAAACCCGACATCTCACCAGCATTCTCAATCGCTTCGATAACCGCAGGGAAATAACAAAGCAAATTATGAATATGAAACTCGACGCAGTCGCTGTTCTGAGAAAGTGTAAGTGCTTTCCCCCACCAATCTTTTGATTCCAAACAATACTTAATATACATCTCACCTTCTTTGAAAACCCTGCAAAGTTCTCTAAGGGGAAACTCAAGAGGTTTCCATTTGGTAGACCTTTCTTCAAGCTTCAGATTCTGCCTTATCTCGTCCGCGATAGTGTCGAACGCTAGAGTGAATGTGTCGTGAATCAAACAGCATTGTCGTTGATTGATCTGAATTTCGTCGCGTAAAACCATAAGAGCTTTCAAACTCCCAAGAACCTCACCAATATGCCGGAGCTGTTCCATTCCGGCACTTAGAATTTATTCAAATTCAATACGGAAACCTAAACAAAACACTACCAAGAAAATCAAAATCAGAACCACACACAAAAATCATAAATAAAACAAAAAAACACATTATGAATTAATGAATAGTAGTACCTTATGATTGAAGAGATTCGGTAAATGAAGAAGAATGTGAGAAGATTGAGGGTGGAGGAGGGGGAATGTTAAGATTTAGAAAATGTTGTTTGGATTGCAAGGTGTTATGATGAAGAATTTGAGGCTGTAAAAGTCAAAACGGAAATTCTGAGACAGGTTTGTTGAGGATTAGAGAATATGTTATGTTACATTAATTAATGTTGGTGTAGGTAACAAGGATTGAATTGAATAATGAAGCAGTTTCTGCAACAACGTTGTTGTTGTTTTTTGGAGAAATGCATGGTAGTTGCATTTCTCCGAGGTTCCCGCGAGTTTGGTAATAAGATTTGATTCATAATATCATAATATATATTACATAAAGTGCGTGCGATGAAAATGGTGGTTTTGACTTATTTATAAAGTTTTTTTTAGAAATTTTCACATTTTGTTCAACCACAGCTTAGACAACTAAATATATTCGATCATTTCCGAATAATATAAACTTCAACAGTGCACTTTTCTAAATAAATAATTTGTTTACTTAATTATTTCTAGTATGTAGTAGAATTTGAAGGTGAAGAATATGATAGAAAAAAAATGCACAATCAACAAACGAAGAATAGATCCCACCAACCAAATCAAACCATATCCATAATACTAGATAGTACAAAGATCAAGGAGGTTAGAAGTGATATCTGATCCAAGAGATGAAGGATCTCAAATAACCAGTTCAATCTCGTAAGAGATGACATGCTTCACACTTAAATTGGAAGCCATTAAAAGACCT